AAGAAGCTTTGTCTCTGAATATTCCTATTTTGTTTTTAGAAATTCTATACAGTGGATGTGTACTTTTGATTTATTAAGTTTCTTATTTTTATATAAAAATACGTTTCCAATAGCAACCAATTATCATAAATACAAGGATATCGTATTCCAGCCTTAAAGATAATAAAATGTCATACAAACAATTTTTCTATATTAAATACAAAACTAAAAATTCAATGACGCATACTTGTAGAAGAAGTTTTTCGGGGAAGAAGATAAAAAAACAAGAAAAGCTTAAGCAGCTAAAGCTGAGTATAGAAAAGAAGAAAGAATGAGATCATTAACACCTATCCATGTTATCAAATGCAATTTCAGAATAATTACATTAGGAATTATATATATAGTTTCTTTTTTATTAAAGAAAAGTGTCTATACCCAGTTATATTTAAGTTTATTGAGATAATGGGTATTAAAAAGACTATTTAATCAGAGTTTGTAGGTCGCACTGTCTTAAACAATTCAATCAATTTATGGTACTCTTCCCTCTCTTTACACTTCACATAATACTCTTTCTCCCTCCCTCTCTCTCTCTCTCTCTCTCTCTCTTTTCTCTCTTCACTCTCTTTATGTATATTATATACATAAGTAAGTAAGAATAAAACATTAAGTCTTTAATCTTTGCTTATGTAATACAACTGAACAAAAATTATAAAAAGACGATTTATACTTTTAAGATTCTTAGAATTTTATTGATGAAATAAAAGAAAGTAACTAAAAACCATTGAAATAGATGAAAGGAGGTTGTAAAGATTTTATTAATTATTAGTTGAGATTTTAACTGGAAAAAAGAGGCTTTTTATTCATTAATTCAGTAATTATCTACGGATAATAGAGTATTTAGGTTTGTTTTTTAGTAAGATCACTGATTAGCGTTGTATGTGTATTCCACTAATATAAATCTTCGTCTTTCTCTCCTAATAATTTAGCAATTGTCTTTTTTATATATAGTACAAGTATAATATCAAAGTACTATATAATATATAAAAAATATAACAATATGACTCTTTAGCAATAAAATAATGGAAGAGAAAAGAGAGCAAAACAAAGATAATAACATTTAAATCAGTAAGCCTTAAGATATTTTTTATTAATTTCTTTATTGGCAGTCATAGATGAAAAGAAAAAAGTTTCCATTAGTATTCTCTTTCAAGCAAAATATAGAAAAGAAAACGAAAATGAACCAACACAATTGAAACGTTTTAATTAAGGCAAACTCGGCTTTTCACGGAACTCGAGTACGTAAGAAGAGACGTCAAATAGTATTTATAGCGTTTAAGAGTATTTACTTTTGTACTAGTTACAGACATGCTAAAAGTATAAGCAGTGGAATTGTACTCTTATATTATTGTTTACAAATTTAACTCATTTTTCTAATTGATACCATTTTTTCTGTCAATAAGAGTTGGATTGTATATGATATCTTTTCGGCGAAGAGAGAATAGAGAACGTATTGTTATATCAATAAACTAATTAATTTAACAAACGCCAGAGTTACAAGCTATTACTAACTTATGAATGTTATTTATGGTAGATACATTCTATTTCCTGGAAATTAGGATCTTGAATAATTTATATATAGTATAGTTTCTTTAAGATCTCTTTTATATGTTCTATATAACAATACAAAAAATTAGAGATTATCGATAAGCTATTTTCAAAGAATTTATTAAATAAACAAGAATGAATGAATTATAAAAAAAAACATAAAAGTAAATAAATCCATTGATTATTTCTAATGAAGAGATATTTTCACTTTTCAACTGTTTTTATCACAGGTTTATCTGAAGGGAAATAGTAGCATGCAAATATGAATAATTCATCTGAAAGATGCGCTTTAAGTGGTTCGAATGAAACCTTCGATAAATATGATGTTAAAAGTTCTTTGCAGCATGTTGTACCATTCTTCCTGACTGTTTTTTCAATTGTTTTTCTATCTGGTGCAATTGGAAATGTATTGATGATTTATTCGATAGTTAAAGATCATTTATTCAAGAATCCAACTTATGTATTCCTCATCAACATAGCTGTGGCAGGTCTACTGAAACTATTAATAGTTTTACCTTTGACACTAGTGAACCAGATACTAACGTAATTAGAGATGGAATAGTTACAAATAATAATGAATTGATAAATTAAGACAAATCTATTTTATTCATTTTCAACAATCTACTGTCTTTCTTTTAAATTACTTAAAAAGGCATAAAACAAACATTATTTATGTAATTTTGCCATTTTCTATTATATTATTGTATATTTCGATTGTTAGTTCTTCTTACAAGTGATATAAATTTATTCAACTTTGTTTTCCCAAGTTGCAACTAAAAGTTACAATTAGTTTGTAAAGGAAAAACAAACAAAAAAGATTCATATTATTATGTTTTTCAAATGCTAATTAATGAGAATAATACTTAAGTAATCTTTTATGAATATTTATTAGGTTTATATGTTTTTTATGAGGTGTATACAGATTAAATCTATAGGCATATTTCTGGTGATGCTTAAAAGATTTTTCCATCTCTTTTTATTGAAAAGTTGTTACCTTTTGGGCTCCTTTTTATGTCACGTCTTGCCCATGATGCAGGATCTTACGAAGCATTCTGGAATGCTGACATTTGTGCTTCTATCAATTGATAGATATAGATTAATTGCTTGCCCAATGGAGCCTCGTTTACCGGCTGCACTATGTGCCCTTGTTGTCTGGATAATATCGATTTGCGTAGTATTACCATATTCAGTGTATACGGAGTATGTGCCTGATTTAAATCCTAAATCTTCAATTGGTTATTGCTTCTTACAGCCGGTTTATGATTGAAAATATTTAAAAATTCTCCAAAAAATTATCTTAATATATAAATAATTCTTGTTCTTTTAATTGAAACGGAGAATTATTAAAATTTTCCATCATTAATCGAAAAATCAAATGAAAACTTAGAGTTTGGAAGCAAAAGAATTTGTCCGAGGCTCATTTGTAGCATTATATTGTTGTCCTTTTGCTCTACAAGTATTTTTAATTATAAGAACTAGTATGGAACTAAAGATGGCAAGGGAATTATCTAACTTTTCTATGCGTAGAGTAGCAGATGGTCCACCCTCTGAAGATGATACTCAAGAGGTTACTAATCTGGATAATAACGAAAAAAGAAACCAAAAATACTTATCATTTATGATGATAATCTATGGTGTCAGCTGGTTACCTATTAACATTGTAGTACTAGTTCAACATCTAGAACTCGAGAATAGTTCAAATGAAGAACATATGGATAAGTCTTATATGACTTTTATTCTTTTTGGCTATCTATCCTGTATAATTACACCTATACTATTTTTTTGGTGGAGAATGGAAAGTAGAACTAGAAGCAGATTAAGGCATAATTTGAGATTTTTCTCAAGCAGGCAACTGGTAATCAACGAGTCACATTCATCAGCGACAAATCTCAGGAGTCAAGTCTATAAATTAAAGAGGAATTCGCCAATAATAAAATAAGAAATAATATCATAGCTCTATTTTTATCATTAATTAAGTTTTGATTAATTAAGCAAGTAGAGTATAAATAATATCGGTTAATACCTAATGAAAAAATGTAACTTTTAAAACTGTAATTGGAGGCTCTCTTTAATTTAAGACAAAAAAACAGCAACCTAGTACTGAAGAGCTGATAAGTTGATGCTATTTTCCTATGAAAAAAGTGAAGTGAAATGTGACAAAAATACGAAAATTTTTTTGGGAATATCTACTTTCTTAATTTGTCCAAAACATATATTTTTATAATCTTCTACATTATAATTGCATCAGGAAAAGAAGAAAGAAAGGATTATCTAGTTTAATACAGTCTTTCTCTAATGTCAAGATGAATAAAAACAATCCGAAGTGAATATTACATAAGAGGTTTATTAAGAGGAAGAAGATTGAAGATGGAGAAGTTATGGGGAAAAGGATAAACCTCATTTCATCCCCTTTTTTTGTTTTTTGTTTTATTTTTGTCTTTTTAACAGGATATCTGCTGTACATAAAAAGGGAATTTATCTAAAAAATGACGCCTTTTTATATTACGCAGTATATATGCCTCTCTATATTTGTACAATACATATATATATATATATATATATACACACATACTGTATATAATATTGTTTTCTCTAACTATATCTCCACCATTCTATCACCGTTTTCTAGGTTAATTTCATGTTTCACAAACACAACCTTTTATTTCCAATATTCCTAATTATCATTAAAATATAAATAAACCTTCTCATTATATTTTTCTTTTATTGTGTTCATAAATAATGAACCACTGTATATTCTGCTTTTGCGTCCGATAATGTTTTGTACACGAAATTGCGCACAAACGTGCCTTAAAGGATGTTATATAGCAAATTTTATGTATCATTTTTATATAAATAAAAAACCTGTATATTACAACCGGAACTTTTAGTTATTAAGTGCTTATTGGCGAATAAATTATACATATTCTATTTTCTCTAAACCATCTCCTAGGTCAGCCTTTCAGGTAAGAAGGAAAAAAAAGATATGTAAACATCTGCTGTATTGATGTGGAATTTTGTTGCTAAATTTAACTTATCTTAAAATGTTATCAAAATTTCATTGATGACGTTTATTATGAAAAAAAATTGTCTATAATCAAAAATATATTTATGGAGAATTTTAGCTATTTTTTCTTATCAAAGAAATAAGAGAGAAAGCACTGAAGAAGAGAGTAAGAAAGTGAAAGATATAGGAGGAATGAGGAAGATTGTAGTGGAGGATGAAGGGTAGGGAGAACCAGTCTTATTGAGAAAATGAAAAGATAAAAGAAATAATATCTTTGTACATCTAACTTTTCCCTGCTGTTTAATTCTTTAAAAGGATGGAACTTTAACATATGACAAAATTAAGAGATTTCTTTACAGCATCTATCAAAATACTATTTGTCTAAAAATTAGGTGACTTTTCTCGTTTTCTCATTTTTACGTGCCATCTAGCGGTTCAGTACAGGGTATAAATTAGAAGATTTTTTTTTAATTATCCCCTTTCATTACTGAATAGCTTTGAGATTAACCGACAAATAAATAATAATCTTAATCTTACAATCTTGAAAATCCCCTAACCAAATGAAATTGTTTTAATGCTTTAATTCCTTTATTTTATAATATGAAAAAAGAGGCTAATACAGAGGAAAGTTTTTGAATCGATTGATATTTTCTCTCGTTCAATATTCTTTCTTATGGTAATTTACTTTACTTTCATATTTAAGCTAATCCTTCGTGCTCTATAATATTCTCTTTGATCCAATCGTAATAGGCTGAAACTCGGGTAAAAATAGACGCCTTTCCCTTTCTCCAGTCACTACCGATTCCAACTTGATAAGGCTTGCCATCCTTCCTACAAATTAAAGGACCGCCTAGGTCGTACTGAATAGGAGAAAATTTATTTATGATCAATAAAAAGAACAATAAATGAATAAAGATGGGAGGCGAAAGAATGGGTTATTGCACTAAATGAGACCTACTATTAGACAATAGATGATTAGATCGGTGAATGTAGATTAATTAACTTGAATTGACCGATAAAAGCTAACCATCTATTGAATACTCTGACATCGATTACGTAATTGCTTTTGAATGTTCATAAAAAGAGGAAATATTGGGAAAGATCAACATAGTTTGTTGATTCACCCATTCAGTCTTTCAAACAAAAGAAAGGTGTTACATTTGAATTACCTGCCGAATTCCAACGCTTTCGGAACCTGCACAAATTTGAATTTCATGATCAACATTCATATTACATATCTCTTCACTGATTATTGGCATATCAACTTGGTGAGCATTGATCGGAGGCTTTCCTTCCTCATTTATTCTACCCCAGCCACCAAATTTACATTTATCATTACTGGACGGAAACTGTTCGTCACTATTTAACAAAATGTTATCTTCGTTATGTAGATGAACTCTACTTATATGCGGAGCGCTGTCATCAGGGAAAGCTGGAACATTGTCCTCCAAGTATAGTAGGGCTACATTATGTTCCCTTTTCACATTCTTAAATTGATATCCCTCATGAACAATAACACGCTTAACGTGTAAATAATATTCAACGTCCTCATAATTACATATTCCCAGAGATTTAGCGTATTTACAGAATTTACCCTTTAACCTTTCCATAAAACTCTTTTCTCTTTGTCCATCTCCCAATCGAATATGAATATGGTTTGCTTTCATTATTTCTCTTCAAAGAAAAAAAACAACAATAACAATAATAACAATACATTACTAACGCAATAGATAAAGGCCTATAACAAAATACACAATAAATTTGTACTAAAGAAGGATATGTTCGCTATCAAATATACTAAAACTATTTAGCTGTTTAACCGCTTTACAGTAGATTACATACCCGTCTCTTTCAACACATTCTGCAGCTGTTAGTACCCATTGCTTACTAATTAAGGTTGCACTGCAATGATGCCATACTCCAATAGGAATAAATTTTAAGACGTAATAAGTAGGTTCGAAAACCTTAACGGAAGCTAACCATGGCCATTCAGTTAAATCTAATTCTTTGCCGCCAATCGCCCTCCTCACTCTATAGGAAGAGGTGATCGTAGACAAAATAAGAATAGCTAAAGAAACTGAAAGAATGTTCATCTTCAAGCTCTTTCAGTGTTACAGAAACGACAAATGCCTTGCTTTTATTTAAAGAGGGATGCAAAGTTCGAATTATGAAGTACAAAGTCTAGTATCAATTACCAATGTTTCGAGAGAAGTGCACAATAAGAAACATTAAAAGAGAATAGAACAATTTGCCACACATAACAAATCATGATTAAATATTTAAAATGAAATTCCATTAATTTGAAAATCAACCCAATAATCTTTTAATCTAGTACGGGGGCGAAAAAACAATAATCCTTCAATGAACGTTAGATGGAGACAGTAGCAAGATTAGGCTACCTTCAGAAAGTATTACAGTCTTTCTCAACAACGTTTCTCCATACATTTAACAGTTTAAAGTAGTAAAAGAATGTATGTTTCACTATAAAACGAACTACTACATATTGATAACTTTCTATATAACTGTACTTAATCGCCAAGTCAACTAAATCTCTAGAAAGCACCATTATAGTTATTTCCCATAGACTCGTTAAAAATCCATGGAATTCGATTAAAATAACATTAAATAAATGGAAACAACGCTACCATAAATGAAATATTTATTAACTAATTATTTGAATGTACCACCCGAACGGTTATGTAAACATATGTTAATTTTTCACGAAAGGAATAATAAAAAAGGAAGATGCTAGGCAGGGGGGTTGAAGTTGGAGAAAGGGAGGCATGGAGGGAACGACTTGGACAGAAAAAGAAAAAGCGAGAAAGAGAAAGGGAAAGGAGCTTAATTGTAAAAATTTCAAAAAAATAACGCTTACGAACTTGTTTTTATTTCAGTGAAAGTACTATAAAAGATAAAGAAATATAAGAAATTGAACGTAATTGTTTGAACAAAGAAAACAAATATTCGTTTATTTTTAAATGATTCATAAAATTTCGTGTATACAGTGCTTATTGATTGTGTGTTTATTAAAGAAAGTAAGAAAATAATAATCATATCTTTATCATTCTAGCGCGTAATAAATATATTGATAATTAAAAATTAAAAGTGATTACTTTAAGCCTGTATCGTCCTTTCTTTTCACATCCAATTATCTACGAATGTGCCAAATAACGCGTTGCTTTTCGATATTGTGAATTGTGAAGCGCCATCTTAAACGAGAAAGAGGCAAAATCTATTAATAGGAGTTTGAAGAACTAAGTTCCTATTCTATTTTCCCTCTCCTTTCATTAGACAAGAAATTAAAAGATATTTTTGTTTGAATTGCTACTATCACAGTAAAGTAATAATAATTATTATTATTTATAATATTTCATAATGAAAGCTATTTTTACATTAAGCGAACTCGATTCCCTTTAGTGAAATAAACGTTTGCTCTTCCATTACTCTCTAACTTAAAACACATTTCTACCCTAAATATTTCCATTTGTAAAGACTAGCATCAGCTTTTCTAGATTTTCTTTTTATAAAAAGTCGTTCATTATCCACAATCTTGGTTTTTACTATTTCTTTATATACTTTTCCAGGATTTTTTCAATAGAATATTTGTACTAATTGAACTAATATAATTTATTTACAAAGGCCTAAAACATACGCATACACACACACACACACACACACACACACACACACACACACACACACATACATACATACATATGCATATAAACACACATTCACAAGAAAAAGAACAATAACAAAACAGCCAATGGAAATAATGACAAATAGGAAAAGAGTAATAAAAAAATTTCAATTGAAAAGCATTAAATGAATTCTTAATTGATTTCAAAAGAAAAAGTTGTAAACTCTTTTGAAATTTGCATAATTTCTTAAGTACTTTAATGATACACCTATTAAAATGGATACTTTGAAGAAGGAAATCATTTAAAAACATTCGCATAAAAGAAAAAAGAAGTAAAAGACAAAAGCATCTTCTGCCAAATTGAAAAGTAATAATTGCATTATGTAATAAATTAATTTTAAATGCAAAATTATGATAATTTGCTTCTATAACAAGAAATATAACGTTCCCCATGTAGAAAAAATATAATATGTAACATTTAGGTATAAATTTTCCGAGGTCGACAATCCTTGTTCGGGACCTCTGTATGCACAGTTTCGGACCTCAAATAAGATAAACTTATACGATAAGACAAAAAGAGCAATTGCATCAAGGCCGATAATAACCTTTATTTTGTCCTCAATCTAATTGATAATAATATAAACTTTATATATATAATTATAGATATTGTACATGCAACTGCTAATTTATCAATCATAATTGATTGAGCAATTGCTCTTTATTAATAATAGTTCAATTGTAATCTAGTTTCGATGTGTATCTATTAAATTATATAAAAATAACAAGAATAAGTGATGTAAATGTAGTAAACCTAATCGATAGAATAACGTAAAAAAACGCCAACTTTATAGATTTCTAATCGATGTTAACAATTACATGGAAATTGTCAAGTTTTATCTCAAATGACCTATTATTTATTTCTTCTTAGATATATAAAAGTTAAAAAGTATTCTATACACCTTTCTTTGTATTAGTTAACTCAAAAAAGTGGATTTTTTATTAAATTTAAAAAAAAGAGCAAACATTTATTAAATGCAGAAAAGGAGAGAAAAAAATTATAAATACAGAAAAACTAATTTATAATACAAGTTCAAAAGAATCAATCTTTTTTTGGTTTTCTTGATAAGGGTTTTTTTTTCGGGGATGCTTTTTTCTTTTTACATTCTAAAAGGAGGTACCCATCCGTTTGTTGGTTGACGGATATTATCAGCTGATAAGTGCCTTGTTAAACTTCTTGAATTCATTGCTTCACCAAAATTATCGTAAGGTGTAAAGTGAGGTGTATTAATTCCGTTGGGAGGTGCTTGGAAAATCGGTTGGAAGGAATAATTCTTATCCAAAGGCTCAGAATTTGGTCTTTGAAATTCGCTTTTAACAATCTGTTGACAACCTGTTGTAGGTGTTACGCTCCTAGATCGATGATGAGGATTCCAGATTTGTGAATCATAGGTTTGTTGATAAATTGAGTTAACGTTTCTTTGATCGTAAGCATTTGGAGCAGCAACAGCCGTTTCGGCTGGCATATGTGACGAGGCGTGAGTTTTCTCATGAACTCTTAGCTTGAATCTAGTTTCAAATACGGCTGAACATTTAGCGCACTGTAAATGAAATAAAATAGACGTTTAATAAAAGATGTTGAAAAGATATTTGAATAAATTTCTATGCCTACCTTAAGTTCAACTTTGGTTAATTGTCTTGCTTGTGATTTATTCGATCGGACATCAATATCGTGCAATTTTTCCATATGTTTGTCTAAATGAGCTTTTTGTCGGAACCTTCTCGAGCAGATCGTACATTTATAAGGTCTTTCTCCAGTATGCTGTCTCATGTGGACATCCAAGTTTGATCTTTGTGCAAAAGTTCTATTGCAAATATCGCAATGGTAGTTGAACAGTTTTGTCTTTCCTTCTGAATGCTCTCTCATTATATGCTCTCTTTTAAAGATTTTTGTTGGAAACCTTTCTCCACATTTTTCGCACTGATATCTTCCTCCGGTTGCCATACTTTCTTCTTCATGTTTAGCCATATGTTGCTGGAAAATTCTCAGCCTTTTCATGACTCTATGGCATATCTTACAGCGAAAAGTTGTTTTATCATTTTGCGCCATCTGGTTGTTGTTCTCCTCCAACTCATAAGATGCGGACGATATGCCAGATATCGAACTCTCCAATGATTCCCTTTTCTTATCGCGTCCCATAGAACCAATAGAACTCTGACTATGATCACTACCTTCAGCATCGATAACCGATAGAGGAACAGGAGATGCAATATTCTCCGACGTTGAAGCTAAAGGAGCTATTGCGCCATCTATAACATAAAAGGGTATAGTTATTATTTACCATGTAATATATTAAGTAACTTGACTTACACAAGTACTCGTCCAATTCATGATTGGGAACGTCCGCTACGTCAGCGCTCAAATTAAAATCGTTTTGGCTCTTGACGTTGTTGAATTTGCTTATGACATCATCGTGGTACGGAAACACAGGAGCGTTACTCTCAAAAGGGAATTGTGATGTCATTGATTGTCGAACATTCAATTCTTTTAATGGCGAATTCAGTGAAGGATCCAAAGAGCGTCTCTTCGCTGGAGGTTGACCCATATGATTGTAATTAGACATTGTCGTTTGAAGTAGTAAATCGAGCAGCTGTTTATAGAAAAAAAAACAATAATAAAAAATTAATAAACAAGAAACATAAAAGAAAATGTTGCAAAAAAAAATTAGACGCCCAATAGATAAAATAATTATGAAATTTAAATAATAATTGTTACCAATAAGTCTTTTTGATCAAATCCGTAACGCTCAGCGGCGTACGCAAACGGATCTATCTCGTGTAAAATATCCTCAAAAGTTTCAATCATTGTCGTTTGAAATCAATTATTAAACTAAGTATAAGAACGGACGTGGCACTTATATATATAGAAAACGTTTTATCTTATCATTGTAAATTCAAGGATTGAAATTGCGAGTGATTGACTTTGTTAGTTACTTGTACGTCTTAACAAGTTCATTTTGATAACAAATTATTTTTCTCTTGAAAACATTTTCAACTTATTATTTTCCTATATTAGTACTTTCTTCACTACTGATAAACTAACCTAGATAAAGATATGCATTGATAAA